GGGGGGCCCCGGTGGGTTTCTTGGAGGGAATATAAAACCCCACATCAAGAAAGACCCGCCCGCGGTATCCCCGGGGGGTTTCGAACCGGGGATGGGGGGGGCCTACTTCCGCTCCCCGGAGCCCTTTAAATCCGAACCCCCTTTTGCCCCTTCCGAGGGGGTTTTTGGGTCCCCGCCTTTCCCCGGGAGGGGAATTCTGGTTTTCTTTTTTAGGGCCTAAAGCCCCCCCCCCCCCCCCCCCCCCATCAGCCCCCTCACCCCCGCATGCTCGCCGTGCAGGCATGTGGCAGCGTCCACCTGGGCCGGTCTCCTCCTCCTCTACCAGCACGACGACGGAGCGCCCGTCGATGACGCCGCGAACCCGTTTGCGCCGCCACGCAAGCCGGTGCCTTCAAAGGACAAGTCGGACGCAGACGACAGCTGCCTGCCCTCGGGCGGCGGCAGCGGCAGCAAGGGCGGCGGTGGCGGCCCACCTCCACCCAGCGGCGGCGGCGGCGGCGGCGGCGGTGGCAGCCCGCCGCCAGCGGACGCGGCTTGCAAGGCGCACCCGGGCTGTTCTGCACTGACGGGGGAATGCTGCCCGACCGCCATCGGAATGATGCTCGAGTGCTGCGGCATCTGAGACGCCTCTCACTTTCATCCGGCTTTTCTGCCTTTTCTCCGTTGCGCGCGACTCGTGGCGGGGCGGGGGGGCGGCGGCGTGGTCGGGGTCGGAGAGAGGCAGAGAGCGCGCGCTTTTTTCTGCTGGGGAGAGGATGGATGGAGAGGTGTTCATACTGTGATACGCGCAGCATGGGTGGTGAACACTGAACAAAATTCTCAACTGCAGATGTCCTCAGGTGTTTTTTCATTCCGCCACAACGCAGAGCCGCGCAAGCGAGGCGTCGCTGCAACCGCAGACGTCGGCGCCGGCCGCCCTGAGCGCGCGAATGTGCTGCAGCGCCTCCGCTGTGATGGGCTCGCCCGGGAAGAAGACGGGGATGCCCGGGGGGTAGGAGCAGACTAGCTCTGCGCTCAATCGCCCCACCGCCTCGCGCGCGTCGACCAGCTCCGACGGTGCGAAGAAGGCTTCGCGGGGCGTCAAACCCCGGCCGTCGGCGACGGCGGCAGGCAAGGGCAGCCACACCGGCGCCGGTGCCGCTGGTGCCGCTTCTGAGGCCGAGGCCGCCGGGGCTGAGGCTGCGTCGTCTGCGGCGGCGGCGAAGGGCGCGGCGTCGGCGTCGGCGGTGACGTCTCGCAGCGCCTTGGGGAGCGGTTTGGGGGAGGGGTGAAGGAGGAGTGGAACGGCGTGCCGCTGGAGAGTGTGGCGTGGTGGTTGCGCTGCCGCCTCGACGAGCAGGTCGACATCGCCCTGCGTGGTGCCCAAGCTGAAGGCGAAGGTCAAGTGCCGCAGCTCGGGCAGCTCGCAGTACACACCGTGCCGCTCGATGAGCGCCTCGTCGAGGTCGAACCCCGACCCGGCGTCGTCGCACCGCACAACCACGCGCAGCGGGTCCGTCTCCACCCCGCCGCCGGCCGCGCCCCCCCCTGGCAGCGCGAAGACACGCACGCCTGGCAGCTGCGAGAGGCGGCGGCGCGCCTGCTGCGCCAACGCTATGGCAGCGGCCGTGTCCCTGCGCGCGTCCGCGTCCGCATACTGCCACCGCGCGGCGTCGAGGGAGGCCAGCAGCAAGTACGATGGGCTGCTGCTCTGCACCAGCTCGAGTGCCTGAGGGACGACACCTAAGAAACGTCTCGGACGTGTCGAGGAAATGTCTCGGAAGTGTCACCTCGAGCGCGCGAGGGGCGGCGCCGTGCGGCAGCGGGCAGTCGGCGGAGATGTGAAGCATTGCAGCCTGCGTCATCGCGCCGAGCGTCTTGTGGCTGCTCTGGATGACGAGGTCGGCGCCGCGCGACAAGGCGGGGCGCGGCAGCCCCGGTGCCATCCCCAAGTGCGAGCCATGCGCCTCGTCGACGATGAGGGGCACGCCTAACGGGGTCCCGGCGACGAGCCGGTGGGTTCGGGTACTATGGGGTAGGGGAGGGCGGGTTCGGGTACTATGGGGTAGGGGAGGGTGGCGCACGCCTAAGGGTCACGGCGACGAGTCTTGCGCACCACGACACACGGGGTCCTCTCGCCGGCGATGAGGGGCACGCCGGCGGCGCGGCAGAGCCGGCTCGCGGCCTCCACGTCGGAGAGCACCCCGTGGTAGGTTGGCGAGACGAGGAGCACCGCCGCGATCTCGCCGCCGTGCCGCTCGAGCAGCGACGGCAACGACGCGCCGACGTCAGCGTCGAGGACCAGCTGCTGCGCCGCGTCCCACCGAGAGTCGAGCCACACGGGCGCGGCGCCGGAGGTGACAAGGGCGTGCAACGCCGACTTGTGCGCGTTGCGCGGAATCACTACCTTGGGGGCAGGCGCGCCTCCGCCTCCGCCCCCGCCCCCGCCCCCGCCTCCGCCCCCGCCTCCACCTCCACCTTGCCGAGCTGAGAGGAAGTGCTGGACGCACGCGATGACCTACCAGACATGAAGGGGCATTCGTGGACGCGCCCTGGACACCGCTTCGAGGCCGCGAGACGAGGGTCATGCCGCCGCGAGGATGCCGCCCGTGGAGCCTATCGGACATGTCTCGGACACGTCATGGACAAGTCCTGGGTGCACCGCAAAACCTCCGCCCGTGGAGCCGTTGATGAGGAAGTGGGTGCTACGGGCGCCAAAGGCCTCGCTCGCCAGCTGCTGTGCCTCGTGGATCGGGCCCTCCGCCGAGAAGAGGTTGTCCAGCTCCGGAAGCTCCGGCAAGTCGGACCGCAGCGGAGCTGTTCGGCCGGCGGCACCGCCCAGGACCGCCTCTCGCAGCGGCGCCGGCGCGCCCTCGCCCATCTTGTGGCCAGGGAAGAAGAAGGGCGCGCGGACGGACTGGGAGGCCCGCTGTATCGCGTCGATGAGCGGCGTGTCTGACTGTGAGAGCATGCGTCCAGTCTCTGAGTCGGTTTGCTGTTGTCGTTGCTGCTGCTGTTGCTGCTGCTGCTGCTCCTGCTGCTGCACGACACCGCTCAGCAGGGTCGTGCGACTCCTTGTCGACAACGCCGCAGCGTGCCAGCCGGAAAGCACGGACAGCAACATCATCGGGCCTGGCCCGAGGGCGAGGTAGGGAGCCGCGAGCACCCAAGCCGGAAAACCGCCCGCGCTGCTGGCCCGCTCATTCACATAAACGCACAACTCCGGACCCAAGACGCACAAGCACAGACAGTCGAGAAGGGGGAGAGACAGCAACGACAGTCAGAAGTCAGCGCTGGGTCCCAGGAAGGCGAATGCGATGACGGCCTCTAGTGTGAGCTCTAGCTAGTGAGCTCATACGCACGCCGGCAGATCGCGACTATATACAGCTAGTTAAGAGCCGACCGACCCTCGCGTCCGGTGCTCACCGACGGCCGGGCGGGCCGCCCGCCCACGCGCCGCCTACGCGCAGCGCGTGCGCCGCAAACTCGCCCGCCGACAGCGCTGGCCAGTCTCCATCGGCCGTCGCGAGAGGCCTGCCCGGCTGTCGCCGCGGGGCCCCCACGAACACCACGCGTCGGATGCGGTGCCGCGCGAACTCGCGCGCAAAGTGCACGCCCCACGCCCGCCGCAGCGTCGTAGCGAAGTTCACAGTCTGCTCTGCGATGGTCGAGATATTTGGCGAGCACTTTGGCGCGGCCGGAAAAGGCCCATTCGAGGCGCCTGTGACGGAGGCCCGTGCGCGTCGCGGCACTGGTAGTGCCGATGGCTTGTGTGCTGTCCGACGACGAAGACAACGGAGCGCCTCCGCACCGCTCCGGTGTCTCGACCAGTGCTCGAACTTTACCGGTATGAGACCGGTATTTGGTGATATTTTGATTAACTTTGAAGTGGTATGGTATAGTGGTATGCGAAAGTGGTAGGCGTAAGTGTTGATTAGTGTAGCGGCTGTGGGTGTGGTCCCAGGTGCCAGGAGGCGAAGCCATGCAAAAGTGCGGGTATTACCCGGGTATACCCGGATTTTTACAGGTATACCCGCAAAATACCGGGTATTTTGCCAATTTCGCCGATTTAGCCGCAAAAATGCACTCGGACTCGCTTTTGGTTTCCGTGAGGCAGGTGGTATCCCATACCACTTTTTGATTAGTGCAGGCCTAGGGTTTGATTAGCCAAAAACTCCCATACCGGTAAAGTTCGAGCACTGGTCTCGACTGACTGCCATCGCGTCCCCGTGCTCCGTGCAAGCTGAGCATTGCCGAGCATTGTCTGGAAAGAGCGTGGGCGGCGCTGGCGCCACCGTCTTCTCCTCTCCCTTCTTGTACTCGTCCGTGTACTTGAAGTAGCGCCACTGGTAGACGCGAGAGTCGGCTGGCAGCTCGTACTCTTGATAGCCGCCCGCCTCAGTCAGCTTCCAGTTTGGAGGGAGATGAGCAGCGAGTCGCCAAGCCAGGCCGGCAGGCTGCTCGACGGCGAGGAGAGGGTCGCCGCGAAGGAAGCCCAGCCGCGCACCTGCGGGACGTGTCATGGAGGGGACGTGTCGCGGACATGTCATGGAGGGGACGTGTCATGGAGGAAGCCCGGCCGCGCACCTGCGGGACGTGTCGCGGACATGTCGCGGACACGCCGGGGACACGAGAGGGGGGGGGGCTCGCACGTCTGCCGCCGCCTCGCTGCCCGGCAGGAGCGTGCGCGCCGCCTCCTCGGAGCCGCGCACGAGCCTCGAGGAGGCGTAGAACTTGCCGACCACCCCGCCCATAAAGTCGCGCGCCGGGAAGTACCAGCCGAGACTCACCGTCGCACTCGCCGTACCGTGCGGCGGGACGACTAGCCGCACCACCGCACCGCCATGCGAGCCTCCCATCGCGCCGTCGAGGCGCCCCGCCTCTGCAAAGGATCGCCACAGGGCGACGAGCGAACCGGCGGTGTGCCAAAGGAGACTTCCGCCGCCGCAGCGCCGCCCTCGCCCGCGCCGCAGAGCGAAAGCTTCCCGGCGGACGCGTGGGTACCAATGGGGAGGGCTGCGTGCTTAGACAGTTAGGGCTGTCCGGCCCCTGTCGGAAAATCAAAATGCTCTCTCCACCCTTTTTTGCCTTCATGGCTGTTGGCTCTCTGGAGGCTAGGTCTGTACTTGACTGCGCGTGATTTTCTCCCTCTTCGCTCTCCGTTCTCCGTATATGACACATAGAAATCATTGGTTTTGGCTTTTTATAGAGATCTTGAGTCTTGTGTGTTGTGTCCCCCCATGCGCATCATTGCTCCTGGTTCAACCTCGGTGGTTCGCGTCAGACCGGTCCTGGGGCCTGCATGCGCCAGCCGCAGCGGTTAGAAACCAGTCCCCTGAAGAGGCGTGCGGAAGCGGGGCCACACGCTCACTTCCCCTGGTGCGCGACACCTCACTCCATTCGATCAGCCTACTTCTGGGGACCCACTTCTGGGGCGCGCACAAAGGAACGTCTTGCGCCTTTCCTTGAACAGACGGCGCTGCTCTTTGCGATGTTGCCGGCGGGCCATCGTTGACGATCCAACGCACTTGGATCGGGCCCCGCTCCCCGCTTTTCCTGTACCTGGACTGTCCGGGTCAGGAGGGTGAGAGTATTGGGTGGGCGAGGGCAGTACATCTGGTGGGTGGGGATTGAGGGACAGCAAGAGGGCTGATTGGGGGGTCAATGGGCGCGCGGGCGGCGCTTCGTGGTCCTGGGCGAGCAGGGGCAGTGGTTAGGAGTCTTGGGCCTGGAGAGATGAGGATTGTCGAGATGTCATGCGAGAGCGGTAGGTGGGCGAAGGTAGCGCAGCTGGAGAGTGGTGTCCGAGGGACAATGATGAGTTGTCAGTTGGGGCGCGAGACGCGCGGGACAGTGTCGGAGGCGGCCAGTGAGGTAGGGTTGGCTTTGAGCAGTGCAGCGAGTGTGGTCAAGCGTGGGAGCGGCGCGCCAGCACCGGATTTTTTTGCTGTGCGAGTCGAGTTCGTGGCCGGTGCGCGGGAACCTGGCTGAAAACCCGCGCATCCGGCCGGTTGTGCGACCGAGGTCGCCGATTGTACGACCGAGGTCGCAGAGCCTTGGCGACGCGACGCGCACGTCGCCAAGGAGTTCGTAAAATGTCCGAGGTTTTTTTTTGCTGCACGCCCTGTCAACCGCACTCCGCAGAGACGAGTGGAGAGCGTCGTGTTTTGCCTTTGTGCTTTGAGCAAGACTGAACCGTTTTTTTGATGACAGAAACTGCGCGTAACGCCTCTCACGAGGTGAGCAGAGCGCTCTTGACGGCCTCCTCCTCCCCTCCCATGTCCAGCCGCTCCACCGGCCGATGCCACTCGTCCGGGACTCGCGATTGGCCGTCCATCCAGCCGTCGGTCCGCGAGCCGACATCGTGCCGCACCGCCTCGCACCTACGCTCGGGTCATCTCGGGTGATCACGGGTGAGCTCAGCCGACATCGTGCCGCACCGCCTCGCACCGCCGGCTGAGCGCGCGCACGGCGGTCAGCTCCTCCTCGAGGCGGGCCTACCCACAGCGCTGGTGTGCGTCTGCTGCCCGCAACGGACCGTCTGTGCGGCTCCCGGGGGCGTGCCAGCTCGGTGAAGAGCACGCGATGCCAGACCTCGGGCAGCAACGAGCGGAGCAGCGACTGGTCGCGGATCCGCTTCGTCTCGGCCTCGAGGGCGATCTCGAGCTGGTCCGCCGTCTCGCTCACCGCCTAGGGCAGCAGGTAGGCGGGGTGGGCAGCAGGTAGGCGGGGAGGGCAGCAGGTAGGCGGGGAGGGCAGCAGGTAGGCGGGGAGGGCAGCAGGTAGGCGGGGAGGGCAGCAGGTAGGCGGGGAGGGCAGCAGGTAGGCGGGGAGGGCAGCAGGTAGGCGGGGAGGGCAGCAGGTAGGCGGGGAGGGCAGCAGGTAGGCGGGGAGGGCAGCAGGTAGGCGGGGAGGGCAGCAGGTAGGCGGGGAGGGCAGGAAGTAGGCGGGGAGGGCAGCAGGGAGGCGGGGAGGGCAGGAAGTACCTCGACGAGCGGGATCGCGTCCTCGGTCGTCACCACCTTGGCCGAGGAGGCGAGCGGCGCCAGCTGCGCGTGCAGCGCGGCGATGCGGCCGAGCCGGAGCCAGATGATCGCGACGTAGTCCAGGTCGGAGAGCACCACCCCGAAGGAGGCGCTCATCTCGCGCTTCGCCGCCATCTCGTCGCGCGCGTCGCCCGGACCGGACTCGGGCAGCGCCCGCCGAGAGGTGCGGCGCCGCTCTCGGTCGATCTCCTGGTAGGAGCGCACCCGCTTGCCGTCGGCGGCGACGTTCCGGTACGCCTTGCCAATGGCGCCTAGAGCCACGCCCTCTGGTGCTGAAGACACGCCGTCCGCAGAGTGTCGCCGGCAGCCGTGCCGATGGCGCCGCTCTGCAGCCGCTTGCTCTCGTGCGCGTGCACCACCTGCCGAGAGAGAGAGAGAGTCACAGGTGGGGGTGAAGAAGCAGAGGCACTGAGAGAGGAGTGGGGTGGGAAGACCACCTCGAGCAGGGAGACGACCGGCCGCAGAGACTCTGGCTGCAGGAAGAGAGAGCGGTGGATTGCGGTGGGCAGCCGCCTCTCCACTCGCGCCAGCGCGTTGAGCAGCCACGAGGGCGTGTCCTGCGGGAGGTGTGGAGGAAGAGAGGCGTGAAGAAGAGGTGTGCGCGCGAAGCTGTCGGGAGACTGGAGAGGTGTGAAGAGAGGCACGCGCCTCGAGTAGGCAGGTCAGGGCGACACTCCACAACGTGAGAGGCCACGCCGCGTGCAGCGTGAGCAGCACAAACTGGGCGGGCGAGACCGACAGCGTGGTCCGCAGCCGCCACGCCTGCAGCACGTACACAAAGGAGCCAACGTACATGTACATGCCTCCGATGGCAAAGAGGCAGGCGGCCGCGAGCGGCGGCCGGCCCTCTCCCTTACGGTACTGCACCATCGCGGCGCCCGCCACGGTGGCGATAATAGCGTTGCGGTGGTAGCTGAGGAATGTGTTGTCCGCGTTGAGCCGCAGCGACCAGCGTGCGATCTTTGAGGCCGTCTCTGCACTGTTGATTGAGGGCGGCGATGGCGCACGGGAGCAGTAGTTGCACCGCAGCGGGAGAGCTGGCCTGAGCGGGCGGGAGAGCCGGCCTGCCCTCTGCAGCGATAGAACGCGGAGCATCGGCAGCACAAGACGACAGATCGCCAGGCTCGAAGGGCGCGTAGTCGTCCCCCCGCCCGCCCTTTCGGTTTTGACGTGCCACCCGCTGGCGAGGTACTCCCACGCCTCTCGGGGTTTTTGTCTGGCCGAGTCAACCCGAGAGGCGTGTCTCGCCTCGTCAAGTCTGTGGGACGGCCGAGCCTCGTTTCAAGGGGCGCGTGCGTGCGTCCCCTCTCGACTACGTTTGTTCACAGCCGGCGCGCGCGCCGGCGACGAATATGCGCGACTCGCCGCCGCGGCTCCGGGCCTCCAACGGCACGACCTACGCCCAACCACCGAGAGGCGCGCCGTCACACCACTCGCACAGCCTGCAGCGCGGCGCTGCGCCAGAGCTCGAGAGGGCCCGAGAAGGGTCCCAGATCTCCAGTAGCACACAATAGCACACGTAGCCACGCATACCCAACCATCCCCTGTCACCCCAGAGCAGATCCCCCCAGGCGGTGAGGTCCTTTCTGGTGCTTGAAGCTCACCCTCGTCCCCTGCCGCAGGCCCTCGGCAGCCGTCCTGGCGCGCGCCAGGGCATGTACCGAGCGACCCCAGTCCGCTCTGGCGCGCGCGTTCGGCGCCGATTGGTGCCCTAGTCGGACCGTGCAACGGACGCGCGCTCTGCGCGCCTCACACGCACTTGCCCAGAGCTCTGCGCAGAGGCAGAGAGAGAGCGCGCCCTCCCCCCGGGCTGCTGCTGGCGCGCCACGCGCGTGCGATCCCTCTCTCGCAGTCGGTGTTCGCCGGGCGAGTTTTAGAGCTAAAATACATGTACATCACAAGACGCACACGCTGCTGTGGTCACCGACGGTCGTGTCCACATGCGCGCAATGGCGCAATGGTGGGCAGCGCCAACGCGCAGGACCATGTTTGCGCGCGACATGCACGCACGGGTGCGCAGGCAGGCGAGGCCATGCCAAAGACTGCCCTGGGAGTCGCGCGCGCGCGTCTCCAGCCGACCGGTACGGCGGCAAGAGCTTGACGGCTGTCGTGCCCGCAGCACGACAGCCGTCAAGCCGCGCAGTCGGGTGGACGCGTCGCGTCGGACTTTTTGCCACCACCTCCACGAGTCTGTCCAGTGCACCCACTGGCCAGATGCCGGGCCTCGGAGGCTGAATCGAGCGCCGAGTCAGGCCGACCTGGCACTGCTGAGGCAGGTCACGCCTGCTGGGGCGAGCCTCGGCGAGACTGCGTCAGCTGTTCCCACAGCAGGCTGGAAGTACCTCGCCAGGCCACCCGCAAGATCCGGTGAGGGAGAGAGGTGGTACCCGGTCAGTCAGCGCGCTCCGGTCAGGTCGATAGAGTATGTATACTACAACTTAGAACCGCGTCTAGGTAAAATTCGATGACGTTGACGATGTACACGGATGACCGTCCACAGAGGCACAGAGTTGACTAGGGTAAGGTAAGGTAAGGTAAACTTCTCCACACACACGAGGTGGTGGGGCAAGGGGGGGCAACCCTCGCGTCTCCACGTCTGACGACAGGAGCCCCACGGCATTCAAAGTGCAAGGCCCGGTGCGCGTGGGTGAGCGGTGTGTGTGTGTGTGTGTGTGTGTGTGTGTGTGTGTGTGTGTGTGTGTGTGTGTGTGTGTGTGTGTGTGTGTGTGTGTGTGTGTGTGTGTGTGTGTGTGTGTGTGTGTGTGTGTGTGTGTGTGTCACGTCACTGCATCCTCCGCCGGTTCCTCCCGTCGCCTCTTCTTTGTTCGAATGTTTTTCAATCCATCCTTCACGAAGCCCTCCCATGTAGCTAGCGTTCTTGGCGAATGTCTCGAAATGGCCAGCAGGCGCTGTCTGCTCGCGGTCTGTGCGGGCCGCTCGTCCTCCTCGCCCTTCTTTCGTCCTCCCGTCCCTCCCCTCCACCATGGCCTTCTCGGCACTTCTTTCTCCATCCGCCTCGCCCTGCCTTTTCGCATCGTGCCGTTCGCCCTCCATTCGGTGACCTCCATGGCTGTCCGCCCCTTTTTGGGTGGCGCTCTCGATACGGTTGCGTCAACCTCGACGTCGCTGTCGCCCTCCCCGTCCCCGCCGGCGTCCGTGCCTCGGTTCGCGTCATCGGTAGCGTCTCCGTTGTTCCCTTTGACTAGGGTCCTCATCTCTGGTCCACGCCGCGGTGGCCTTTGTAGCATAGGAATCCTACGTCTCTGACTCGACTCTCTGACACCACTAGACCCCGAGTATTCAGTCGTCCGCGTTCCCCTTACCTTATCTCGGCACGTGTTTTAGATCCCCAGAGCCCAGTTCGCGCAACACCCGACACCGCGACGACTTACGTGGTTACGTGTTCACTGTCTGTTGTGCTCAAGTGTGCTCCTCAACGCAAGCACTGTCTCAAGGATGGCGTCCCGAATCTCCCGGCGAGGGCCGAGCCCCCACCTCGCGTCTCGCCGTGAAGGCCGGCTGCGCAGCTAGTCCGAGTTGAGAGTCGCGAGGCTAGCGGGCCTGCGGCTCGGTGTTCCATTCGGGACCTTGGTCCACTTGTTTCCGTCAGGGAACTTGATGCCGTCGCCCTCCCAAACGCCAAGGAGGTCTTTTGGCCCTCCCTTTGGCGAAAAGTCGATCGCGATTGACTCGCCGCTCTCCGCGACCGAGCCAGTCAGCTTCCACACTGCCGACGCCTCAGGCCTCGCATCGCACGCGCTATCGACGCCGGCGATGGCGGCCTGCGGATTGCGCGAGCGGCGGCCGCTTGGCAGCATGGGTGCGCCGCCCACCTTGATTGAGCGCAAGCAGCCCGGGTGCTGTGGGTCGTCGTACTCACCCGTGAAGACCGAGGAAAGGCCGGTCCGTGCGGTGACGGCGTGGCTGGCGGCGGGCGCAGCGACAAGAGCGGCAAAGCCGCCAAGGAGCCCGCGCCGAGTCGCTGTGGTCTGCGGCGGCGGCGCACCGGGCAGCAGCGCGTTGACGGCGAGAGCAGCGATCATCGAGACGGCGTGAGCAGCGTGCGACCTGATCCCGGGATTGCGCTTTTGTGTGAGCAGCAACGACTAGGTTATCTCTCTGTGTCCGGTCTCTACTGCACCTTGGTGCGACCTGGGCCGGGTGGATCTCTAGGCGGCGGCAAGACGAAGAGCGAAGCTACTGGGAAAGGTCCTCGGAGAAGAAAAGAATTAACTTTGTGTGCGGTCCACGTCCGCCCAGCCACCGGCCCCAGCGCGAGGGTCTGAGGTGGCGAGCATCATAATCGGATCCGCTGGCCTATATCCCCCAGACGCCAGAGCGCTCTATCCGCACGCCGCCGGCGCTCTGAACTACCGGCGTCAGCTCCAGGCGCCGCCAGCCAGGTCGGCCTCCTCCTCCTCCGCGTCGGCAGCCTCGAGCTCCCTCGCCAGCTGGATGGTCCGCGACATCTCAAAGTCGGCATGCAGCGCCGCGGCCGAAACGGACCTACACGGGCTCGTGGCGCGCCTCACAGGCACCGCGCGCGGGGGGGGCGAACGGCGAGAGAGCGCGGCCGCCACTCGAGTCGCTCGCCGGTCCGGCGGTTGCGGGAAAAGTACTCGAGGCTCGCAGGCGCCTCCTATAAGCGGCACAGATTCAGAAGCCGCCTCACGTGCTAGGCGCAGGCTACTGCTGGAGGCGTGCCGCGCTCGCCTGGAGCAGCGCGTTGACCACCTCGGACTCAGACTCGGATCCGTCGGGGCGCAGCGGCACGAAGCGGATCTGCTTGGCAAGCCGGTCGACGTACACGTGCTCCTCGACCTCCGAGTCGTACGAGGTGGCGCGTCATTGCCTTGTGAAGGTCAGGCAGCGCCATGTCGGGCCTGAGCCAGCCGGGGCGTGCAGCTCCACCGAGACAGGCATTCCCTCCGGGAGGAAGGACTCGGGCTGTGCGACCTTGCGCATCATAGCGATCCACACCTTGTGAGGCGACGCCCCATCGAGTGACATCGAAACGCCGCTCAGCCGGGCGCACTGCCTGCGCGTCGTGGATTCAACGGCACAAACGCCAAGCGGCGGCCGGCGAAACAACCTCATCTATATGTGGCCCGTCAGGCCAGCGAGCAGCGTGGGGAAGAGACTGCGTAAAAAAAAAGTGTCTTGGCCCTGCACGATCTTGGTGTGAGGGATCTTCAATCCACGTGGCCCCTCAACCCTCGAATTCTGCCGGAATAGACAACAAAACAAGATAGTGAATAAAGGGTGTGGATGCTGGGTTGACCGAAATCGGGGGACGCGACCCACTTCGCCACAGATGGTCCCGCGCCTCGCCGCTATGACGGGCACACGCCCCGCACCGTCCGCTGTGTGCCCGTCTTTGTCCGGAGTGAATACTCCAACGCGCTCGTCGGTGACGGTGTCCCCCGATTTCGCCGCGCTCCGGCACCGCTCCGGCGTCCGGGACGCACGCTCTGGGGGGGCGCGGGGGCCCCCGGAGGCACCGTGCGCCGCGCAGCAGTACGGAAATGGGGCTCCGGCTCCGTTAGTCTCCGTTAGCACCAACTTCCCGATTAAGTACGGTTAAGTAGAGGGCAGATTTGGAGAGAACTCGAGGAGTACATACAGATAGACCCTCCAACCATCAGAAAACTCCGACCTGATTGGTCGTACTGACCGCCGACAGATCACTCCAGACAGCAGACAGGCCGACGTCTGCACACGGCCGGCCGGGCGAGAGGCTTGACACGATCCGACCCTGCGAGACCCTGACGCTGCTGCTCTAGCTATCAGACATGCACTGCTGACTGCTGCCACAATGTGCGACCGGTGCTGGCCCACTTGGCGGCCTTCCCGGTCAGTGGTGAGGCGCAGTTCAGAGCTGTCGATGGCGCGATGCCGCACTGGTCCCACATTGGTAACACGAGACCACCACGTTTGCCGGTCCAAGAGAGAGGCACTGGTGCTGTCCTGAGAAGGTGCGTGGTCCCTCTTGACTGCCCATGCGCGCGAGGCTGTGTAGGCATAGCCTCGAGAGTGCCAGCAGCCAATCCGAGGCGACGCGCATTGCGTCAGAAGCGTGCACACGTTGGAAGGACACCTTCCGACTGGCCGTACGATCAGGTCGTCACTGAATGCTTGATACTAAGGCCGCGAGCTATGCAGGTGATCAATTGTGCAGCATGGCACGGTCAGCAGCGCCGACAGGCTGTCGCAAGGCGTGATAGCATGGCCGCAAGTACGCCGAATTCCCATGAAAAAGTGAAAAATCGCGCAAAAAAACCGAAAAAATCGGCGCCTGCGGCGGGCCATGGGACCCCATCGCCCCCCCGCATGGATACCCTCTAGGGCCCCCGCGCCCCCCCAGAGGACGCACGCCGGCGAAGCACGTCAAGCTGCTGTACGGCCCCGGAATCGCCTCCCCTCGCTTAGCTAGACTGAGAGTTATTGTGCACATGGTTAGTCTCTACAATATACTCACTGACACCCCCCCCCTCCCAGAGCTCGTCCCGGTCCGCCACGGCCATCCTCGGCCTCCGGAGGGCCCCCGGCCGCGCCCGCGGCGCGGTGCGGCGGCGTCACAAATCCGACGGCAGAGCACCGGGACGCGGTCGGGCGATCTGAGGTCCAGTGAGGCGTATGCATTGCCCATCCAGGGCTATCACATGGACCTATCAACAGGCGCCTGCGGCGGAGCAGGAGGGCCCGGCGCACAACCCCCTGGTCAACTCACCCTCCACACCCCCCGCCCGTAGACACGCCGTGGCTACACATTCACATACAGAGTTTGTTTTTGTCACATATATCATATTCCGACACAACACACAAAGCCTTTGATCTCAAAGCTGCGGGTCCCCGCAGGGCCCAGTCGGTGCACTGCAGTCCGATCTGGCCTGCCGGCCGGGGGAAAGAAGGGCGGCGAGAGCGCAGCAGCAGGGCGGCGAGAGAAGGGCGGCGAGAGCACAAAGGGCATAAGGGCAGCGCAGTTGTACGTGACTGCTGCACTCACATGTCACATCACACGGCAAAGGCCAGCGCGGCGGCCGCCTCGGTGTCGATCTTGTCGCACTCCCTCTCGAGCTCCGCCAACACGGCCTCGCGCTCCGCCGAGAGGGCGGCCAACTGCTCGTCCTTTTGCTGCAGGAGGGCGTCGTACCGGGCCTTCACGGCGGACTTCTTGTCGGCGGTCGTGGCCTCGATCATGGCGCGGAGGCCGTCGGGGCTGGCCGCACTGTCAGCCGCACCCGCCGCATTGCCCGCCGCGGCGGTGCCCTCGGCCAGCCGCTGAAACTGCGCAGCGGCAGCGCCCACCCCGCCGCCTGCCTGTGCTCGCGCCGGGGCGGCATCCACGCTGCCGCGCTGCAGATCCAGGACGCTCTTCACGTTGGGGTCGAGGGGCCAGCGGTTGCGCTGCTGCGGCACCCGACCCGGTGTGCGGCGGACGGCGCCTGTCATACCGCTCATTGCGGCGGTTGTCGCCGAGCTGCCGCCCCCCGCGGTGCCGAGCGGGGCGAAGGGCACCGCGCCGCCGCACTTGTCGCTAATCTGCATCATCGGCGGCGCCAGCCTCACGGCGGCGGGCGACAGGAGGGCAGCCACGGTAAGCATGGCCGGGCTCCGTCGAACCTTCGATCGCAGTGTCTTTTTCAAAAACAGTCTCCTCACCTCTCAGTGTATGTAGCTCTTACGAACATACCCGTAGGTGAACTGCTGACGGGTTTTGCGATGAGAAGCGATCCGAACGTGGTATTCGGGTGATTAGATCACTACCGCCGAAGCGCAAGCGCTTGGAGCAAGGGAACCGCCACGTATGGGTCCCAGACTAGCACCCCACCTCGCGGGCCGACGTTCTGGCCCAGCGAGGCTGCTGCGGAGCACTCGGGGCCGACGTTCTGGCCCAGCGAGGCCGCTGCGGGGCACCCGGCGGCTCGGTTCGCTCATCAGCGCAAACTCGGTCGAGCAGAAAGTAAGGTGTGTGTGTAAAGCGTAAAGGCGGCGCGGCACGGTAAGGGTCGGCGGTAAGGCGGCGCGGCGGCAGCAGACGGCAGGCAGGACATCTCTGACGGCGAGACAAACGGCACGGCGATCACGAGGAGGTAGAAAGTCGGGCGCGAGCGGGCGGGGTGGCGGCGAGGCGGCGGGTTTTTCCGAACATGGCATTCGTGTGATTAGATCACCGTAACGCAAGAGCACTTTTCTTGCTGTGTGGTCGCCCAACGAATTTTTCTTTGTTTGGGCGTAGGAATCCTGTGTGTATGTGTATGTGTGTATGTCAGCAACCCTGTTCCTCGCGTGCTGCTCCGTTCGATCGCCACTCAGCAAGCCCAGCGGCCTGCGCGCCCCTCCAGCCCTTCTCAACGCCGGCGAGCAAAAAGGGCGGCCTCCGCGCATCACCGCTGAGCAGTTCAACCGCCTGCGAACTGCGGTGCTCAGTCCATCCATCTTTGCTGAGCTTGACACCGACCAGTCCGGCTTCCTCACGCTTGCGGAGCTGCAAGCGGCGCTCGCAAAGGCTGGCGGCGCCGTCAGCCTCGAGCAAAGCGAGGCGGTGTTCCGAGCGATGGACACGAACAGCGACGGCGAGATCAGCCTCGAGGAGTTTACAAAGGGGCTGAGCGATGCCATGGAGGGTGAAGAGGCGGCAATGAGCGAGTCTCCCGCCCTGGCCGCCTTTAGGGAGCTGGACACTGACGGCAGTGGCTTTATCGACCTGCAGGAGCTCAGGGTCGCCCTCGACGCAGCCGCCCGAGCCCGCCCATCGGAGGAGGTGGTGGAGGCCATCTTCAGGGAGATAGACGCCAACGGTGACGGCGTCATCTCGTTTGAGGAGTTCGCACGGGTGTACGCGAAGCTGGAGCTCTGAGCCTCTGACGCATCGAATGCATGCATACAGCTGGTAGCTCTCCGTCGTTCGCGACCTGTTCGCGACTTTCTCGGACCTCGCCGGCTGACGCGCGGGGTCGTCGCAGAGTTGAATAAGGTACAGGGTACGGTTGCAGTACAGTCTGATGAGCGTGAGGGTATGTTGGTCCTTGCTAGGAAGGGCAGAGGGACGCGAAGAAAACGGCCGGGGCGCCGCGGCCCGCGCGCGTGTAACGTAGAGACAACAGACAAGAGAAGCCAGAGAGCTCTCACCTCAGACACGAACGGCGAACGCGGGGGTACCGAGTACTGCGCAACCGGCCCTGCGCGCAACTGCACTCGCGCGGTGTCGTTGCGCGCGCTAAAGGGGCCGGTTGCGCGCCCAGCGCACAGGGCGCATCCAAGTGGTGGCGCTCAACCCTCAAAACGCCTCTCACCCATGAGCCTCCTCGCGCCACACATGCACAAAGAAGATGCCGGGACCGCGCCAGCGGCCTGATCGCCCCAACCCGCCTTTGCCGTCGCCTCTGTGGGTAGCTGAGCCGGCGAGCGGGTCTAGGGCTGCTTGGCCGTGGCGGCTTTGGAGGCGGCGCGGAGGAGGCCGAGGAAGAGCGGCGACGGCTTCATCGGCCGCGACTTGAACTCGGGGTGGAACTGGCAGCCGACGAAGAAGGGGTGGCCCTGTAGCTCGAAGACCTCCATCCGCTCGCCTAGTCCCGGACAAACTCGGCTTGGTCTCGGGCGGTCTCGCGGCCGGCCTCGCAGGCCCGGCGGCCGCTCGCCCGTCGTGTCGCGGCCGACAAAGTCGAGGCCGGCCGCCTACGGGGAGGTGTCGAGGCGGCTCCGAGAAGGCCCCATCCCCTTTGGGTGGCCGGCAGAGCCGAGGTGGGGGAAAGCGGGAGGGTTGAGCGGGCTTCGGCCTGCCCATATGAAGGCTTTGATGTGGGGAGAGGGGCATTGGGTGGAGAAGCTGCTGCTGAGGATGTGCAATTGGGTGGTGGAGTGAGGTACACATGCTGGGCCGGCCGCCTCGAGCTGCTGCACGTAGGCCGGGTTGACCTCGTACCGGTGGCGGTGGCGCTCGTCGAAGGCGGTGGCGCCTAATCTCGGGTGATCTCGGGTGATCTCGGGATCATCGCGGGAAAGCTCGTCGAAGGCGGTGGCGCCGTTGTACAGCTGCGCGGTGAGGCACTTTGGCGAGCGGAGCATTGTCTTCCTCGCGCCGAGCCGCATCGTCCCACCCATCTGAGTGCGGCTGCCTTCGGGCATGAAGATGATGAGCGGCGTGGCGCACTTCTCGTCGAACTCCGCCGAGTGGGCAGTCTTGACGCCGAGCACCGACCGCGCAAACTCGATGACGGCGATCTGGAAGCCGAGGCAGATGCCGAGGTAAGGCACGCCGTTCTCGCGCGCGTAGTTTGCAGCGAGCATCTTTCCCTCCACGGCGCGGATCCCGAAGCCTCCCGGCACCAGCACGCCGTCTGCGCGCCGCAGCTTGGACCACGCCTCGTCGTAGGCTAGCCGGTCCGACGCGAGCGTTGTCTCGTCGAGGTGCGCCGAGTCGATCCACATGATCCGGAGCTTGCGCTCCACGGCGAAGGACGCGTGCATCAGCGCCTTTGTGACGGAGAGGTAGGCGTCGGACAGCTCGGTGTACTTGCCGACGACGGCGATGTGCACGTCGAGCGTGAGCGAGTCGACGAGCTCCGCGAGGGACGTCCACTCGGCGGCGAGGGCCTTCTCCGGTCCGCCGATCTTGGGCGTGA